AGGCTTTTATTGTCATGCCATCACAACTATGCTAATGGTTATTCATACACACACACACACACACACAGTTATAATGTTATTTGAAAAAAAAAAAAAATTATATAATATATATAGACACACATTTTTTAAGTGATATAATTTTTTATTAATATGGAATTAATTTTTTCAAAGAAGTCACTATGTAAAAGAAATGAACATAATTTGAATAAGGTCGTTATGTTTTACACTTCATTGCCATATAGTCTATTTATGGGTTGAGTTAAAATTGTTTGTTATCAGTTGAATTAACTTTTCATAGTAACATCGAGAGAATTAACAGCAGGAGCAGTGGTTACTAAAGAAATGTTTGGAGCTTTTTTTGTTTCAGTTTTTTTGTATTTTAATTATTCCTTTAAGTTTCAACTGATAAGAAATGGGTTCAGTTTTTCATTCTTTAAAATGGTAATGCTTTGTTTAGGCTTCATTTTTACTATTTACTGTAAAGTATGAAGTCATATTTGTATTTTTATTTTTGATAATGTACTCTGTACATGTAGGCTGTAATGCTTTATTTTTTGACAGGTGTGCTGGCATGTTTAGATGGATATATGAATATTGCTCTTGAGCAAACTGAGGAATATGTAAATGGTCAGCTAAAGAACAAGTATGGTGATGCTTTCATTCGAGGAAACAATGGTAAGATGGTTACTTTGTACTGAGTTACTAGTTACTTATGATTGAAATTTGTGATGATATGGTAATACTGAACAAATGTCGACAAGAAGTTTAAAATATTTACCTTCAGGAGAGTGGAGCCTGAAGAGGTGTTATAGGAATGGACACTATTTTAAAATTGCTGTTGCTCAATAGTGCAGTGCTCCACATAATGTTTGCCATGATCACTATGGTATTGATCAAATTTTGCCTCTGTCAGTATCTGCCAAAGATGATTAGTAATTAAGTATCATGAACAAGAGTCTATGCTAGTTTATATAGAGATTGAATCATTTATATTACACTAACAGTTTTACATGAGTCAGTATTATCTTATTGTGTATTTGGCTTCAAGAAAATACTACAAAAATACATACACAATTTATACACTTATTATTTATTTCTAATCTTCATAATTCTCTGCTTGTAAGGTTGTGAAAGCTTTGCCCTTCTTCTGTTCTTAGCACTGTCTCACATCTTAATTGTCTCTCTGTAATTTTCACCACCTTTCTTTATTCAGTTAACTCTTTCCAGATGGGTCACAGGTGAAACGCCATGTCATTATGTTTGTTGACTCGCATTCAAAATTTTATTGAACTACTATTTCATGAATTTATGTCAATAAGTTTCA